CCAGCCCCGCCCCCTGGTGGGCTGAACTGGCCACACACACACAAAATAAATAAATTAATTAATTTAAAAAAAATAGTAAAGTATCTGAGTTTATGAAAAGGAAAATCTGATAGGAGTGACTAAAAGTATAATATAATTAAATATTTAACTTGTAGATAAGTTGGAATGAATGATGTGGAGTCTTTGTGAGATGGCATTCTTCAAAAATAAAAATGGAGAAATACCATCTTCATGTAAGATTTGTAAATTTGCAACATGATTTGTTTTTTACAGTATTAATCTGATTTGCTGGACATTGAGCATTAACTCTCTCTTGATGGTGGAACATTTTTTCCCATTGATGTGTTCTTCCTGTATCCCTTAAAAAGCAACCCATAAGGTCTAGAGGTTGGGAAAAATAGGTTAGTGTGATATTTGAGATAAGCAAGTAAAGCTGAGGACCTAAACTTAGGCATTGAAGATAAGGGATTAATTTCTGGATTATGGAAGACATGAAGTCTTAGAAGTTGGATTTGGTAATGGAAAAATTAATTTTATTTGTGTGAAAGGATTGTGTGTAGAGGGATGGGCAAAAGAGAATGTTCAAGAAGGACCCCAAATTTTTTTTGTAGGGCCACTTAGCTGAGGAAGAAGCCCTGTTTCCAGACACCACAATAAATGATGAATGTAAGGGTGTGTGAGGGGGGCTATGCTACAAGAAGAATTGGAGGGGGCTCAGCTTACAGGGCAGGTTGTAATGCTTTTTAAGGACAATGTGTTTGTGTTGGTTATAAGAACTTTTAAACATGATGTTGAAAGTGAAGAAGTGTATAAAGATTAGTTTAATCCTAATGAGGCAAACTCTTATCCTTAAATTAAGGTTGATAATGTCTTTTTAAAATTTATTTTATTTTTTAAAATAATTTTATTGAGAAACAAATAGCAATGAGACAGTTTCAAAACCAATTAGTAGGACAGTTTCAATAATTAATAAAGTTGATAATGTCATTTTGTCAACTCTACATACCTTTTCAGTGAAGTTAAGAGACACTAACAATGTAGCTAACTTGAATTTTCTCACACTAGGGAGATAATACAATGTTTGCACATGTGAGTCTGATTTATTTCACTTGCGAGTATGGTGTCAAATTGCATCCATTTGTAAAAGCCTCATAATAGCTTTAAAATAGCAGTCTTAATAAGGATCATTTTCCTAAATTTCAAATGTGTTTAGAACCCTAAACATTTTGTTGTAGTTTTAAACTAGTTTTACCACATATGAACTTGAGAGAATTAAACTATTTTGGTCTCTTCCTTCCTTCCTTCCTTCCTTCCTTCCTTCCTTCCTTCCTTCCTTCCTTCCTAGCCCAATAAAGATGTTGTGGAACAAATGGAAAAATGGTAAGAGCTTAAATTTTTCTTTATTTTGATGACTTATTTCTACCAAATTTGAGAAAACAGAATTATTAACTACATTAGACTAGATTCTTAAAATCATTCTTTTTTTCTCTTTCTTTTCTTTGTAATAGAAGATAATCTGGTATGCCATTAGCTAGATTACATGGTCGTTTGTGGGTATCGTGCAGGGCACTGATTTCCTTGTTTAGGACAGCATGTAAGTATGGACTGCTTGAGCACATTAGCTACTGATGAGGAGGGGGAAGTATTTCTAGAACACGATCAAAGATCTTTTAGGTCTTTCTAGAATTAAAAGTTTATAGGAATATTGGACAAAAGGATTGATTGATCCATGTATTTAAGGATGATATAACTTTCCTTGAAAGCTTGTACATATATTTTAAATTTATAATTTCAGCATTCAAGAAAAAAGTGAGAAGTTAAAGACTGTAGAAGAATTACTTGAAACTGGACTTATTCAGGTGGCCACGAAAGAGGAGGAACTGAATGTAAAGATTTTTGTAGATTTGTTTTTGTTGTCCTTATTCTTTGAACATGAAGGGATTTTACTGAAATTGTGTAAGGTTTTCTTCTCTTTCTTTTTCTCTCTCCCCTCCCCTCCC